TCTTTCCCTCTTCCTCACCTTCGGAGGTAGAAACATCGAGAAGCTGAAGTGCTTCAACCGACTGCTGTTGGCTGTGCTCCAGGGCTACAAGGGCCGCTGTGAGGGTCTCAGTATGCAGCTGAGTCAGCGCGAGGCTGAGGCCACAGCACTGCACCTGGCCTTGCAGTACAGGTCAGTGCATCCCGCCGATGACAGGGGAGGGAATGGGTTCTCCAAGAATGGCTTCTATTCACAAAGGGAGACATAGCTTTTGCTTAAGAATTATTTTTCCCCCATCACAGTAATTTAATTTTTTAAGAATTATTTTTATTTAACTTTATTTATTATTATCATTGTTATTTTCCAGTTTGATCAGAGAGAGACAGAGAGACAGAGAGAGAGAGAGAGGAAGTGAGAAAGCAAACCACCAGGTCCGAGACTTGAACCGTGGTCAGCCATGTGGGAGTCCAGCGCCCTTAACCACTATGCCACTTGCCGGCCCCACAGTAATTTAATTTTTTTTAAAGATTGTAATTAATTAATTAATTAATTAATTTAAATTTGAGCAGAGAGGGACAGAGAGAGAGAGAGAGAAAGTGAGAGAGCAAGCTGCCAGGTCCAGGACTCAAACCATGGTCGGCCACGTGGGAGTCCAGCATCCTTAACCACCATGCCACCTGCCAGCCTCGGTAGTTCGATTTTTTTTGCAAATAGTTATTTATTTAATTTTGTTTACTTCTTATCATTTTTAATTTGGCCATACACAGAGAGAAAGAAAGAAAGGGAAAGTGAGGAAGCAAACCACCAAGCCCAAGACTTGAACCACGGTTTGCCATGTCAGAGTTCAGTGCCTTCACTACCCCACCACCTGCTGGCCCTCCCACCCCCCTCAGCAATTGAAGGCAATTTTAGTCTGCATGCAGCCTGAGGGGAAGTAAGAGGGAAAGTTGGGGCCAGCAGGTGAGGAAGTGGTTAAGGCACTGAACTCCCACGTGGTCAGCTGTGGTTCAAGTCCCAGATCCAGCAGCTTGGAACTCACGTTGGGCACGTATGACCGCGTGCCCAAAATCTAGAGAGGAGAATGGAAGAGAAAGGATTGCGGCGTGGTATGCCCCCTGGGGGTGATTTCTAGCTTTCTGTCTCTCGGTTACTCTAATGAGTGCAAGCACACTATAGCAAAAATCTCTCAAAAAAAAAAAGAAAAAAGGAGCGAGTGTAGACGGGAGCTTGCACAGCGAGATGCGTGTGGGTGTCCTGAAGCGCTCGGGACCTGCATTCCCCAGTGAGCGCTGTGAGGAAGCATATGGGGCCCTGCTTGCGCTGCGGGAGGCCGACGCGGGAGCTGGGGACGAAGCCAGCGTGGGCAGCCTGCAGGCGGCTGAGAAGGAGGCTTGGAGGCTGCTGGCACAAGAGGAGGCTGCCATGGACAGAGGGATACTGCAGCACCCACAGCCAAGGTACCCCAGGAACTCTGGGAATCTCACTGCCCAGTGAGTGGGATGCCGACTGGGGAGAGGGGCTCCCTTGGCGAGACTGGCCTTTGATTCAGTGTGATTGGCTGACGTGAGTCCTAACTGGAGTTGGCCTGTTGCCACGTTACGAGGTTGACAAGATGGTTGACAGCTGCAGGGGACCCAACAAGAATAGCATGAAGGTGGTTGATGAAAGGTTGGCCGGTGGTACGGTGGTTATGTCGCTGGACTCCCACATGACTGACCACAGTTCAAGTCCTGGATCCAGTGGCTTAAAAGTCACGCCAGGCATGTGTACATGTGTGCCCATGATCCCTGGAGGAGAAGAAGGGATTGCGGTGTGTGGCCATTCCCCCTGGTGGGTGATTTCTCACTTTCTGTCTCTCTGTCTCTGTCTCTTTCCTTCCTGTAAATGCATGTGCCCGAAGGCAAAAATGTCTAAACAAGCTAAAAGAACTGGCATGGTGATGTTTAATGGGGTTGGCATGATGCTGCCAAATAAGGATGGCAAACTTGGTGATGGTGTTCATTGGGCTGGCATGATGGCGTCCGCCATGTTGGCTTGAACAGTGGAGCCCATTGGGCTGCCATGATGGTGCTCGCCATGTTGGTTTGAACAGTGAAGCTCATTGGGCTGGCATGATGGTATCCGCCATGTTGGCTTGAACAGTGGAGCCCATTGGGTTGCCATGATGGCGTCCGCCATGTTGGCTTGAGCAACAGAATCCATTGGGCTGGCCCTACGGTATCCGCCATGTTGACTGGATAACCGATGGTGCCCACTGGGTTTATTTCATGATACCCACCCTGTTAGTATGACAAGGCCTCTTGCAGATGGCATATAAACTATCATAATCGAGGAGATGGAAGATGACGCCTGTGAGTTTGGCATGAAGTTGGCACCACCATCCTTGCCAGTCCCCACAGAGGCCCCTCTTCCATTTTCTGCAGCCCTGAGGGCAGCAGTGTGGACAAGTCCACCCCGCAGGAAGTGGCTACCCAGCTCCAAGCCTACGTCCAGCGTCTACAGGAGCGCCGTGCTCTGGTGAAGATTCCCCCGGAGCCTGGTCCCTCCTTGGCACTCTTATGCACGTTACCCCATGCAGAAGCCATGATCCAGGCCATCCTGGCGACCCAGCCTGGTCCAGCCCTGCCTCGGCTGACGAAGATGCAGATCCAGCAGAACCTGGTGGCCACGCGGGTATCCATGGGCTATGGTCGCTGTATCTGTCTTCCTACATTCTGTGCTGATACTAAGAGGGAGATGGTTGGGAGACCAAGGAGCGAGAGAGGCCTGCTGAGTTGGGGACAGGCTTCCTGGGACAAGGAGAATTGGGTTGGGGTTTGAGGGATGAATAGGAGTTTGTCCGGGATTCGGTTTCTCATTAGACTCAAATGCTCTTCCTAATGGGAAAAGATGGGAGCAAAGAACAAAATCTGGGCTGGGACCAGCAGGTGACGAAATGGCTACGTCGCTGGACTCCCATGTAGTAGACTGTGGTTCAAGTCCCAGACCTGGTGGCTTAAACTCACGCCGGGCGTGTGTGCGTGCGTGCCCAAGATCCCGAGAGGAGAATGGAGGAGAAGGGATTGCGGCATGGCCATCCCCCCAGGGGTTGATTTCTCGCTTTCTGTCTCTCTGTCTCTCTCTGTCTTTCTGAGTGCATGTGCCCTATAGCAAAAATCTCTCCAAAATAAACCAACCAACAACCCCCCCCCAAAAAAAAAACAGGTTTGTAGCCTGGTGGGAAGGCAGAGATCCTGGAGTTGAAGAAGCTTCCACAAGGTAGCTACTTTCCCTTGGGGCCAGCAGATGGCATAACTGACCATGGTTCGAGTCCTGGACCTGGTGGCTTGAAAATCACTCGAAGTGGGGCCGCAGATGGCATGATGGTAAGGGCACTGGACTTCCACATGACTGACTGTGGTTAGAGTCCCAGACCTGGAGGCTTCTTTTTTGCTTTTCTTTTCTCTCTCTCTCTCTCTCTCTGTCCCTTTGTGGTCAAATTAAAATAATACATAAATGAATAAAGTTAAGTTAAAATAGAAAATAATTCTTTTTTATTTTATTTTGGGACCAGCAGTTAGCATAATGGCTATGTTGCTGGACTCCCATGTAGTCGACTGCAGTTCGAGTCCCGGACCTGGTGGCTTAAACTCATGCCCTGTGTGTGTGCGTGCGTGCGTGCCCAAGATCCCAAGAGGAGAGTGGAGGAGAAGGGATTGCGGCGTGGCCATCCCCCCGGGGGGTGATTTCTCGGCCATCCCCCCGGGGGGTGATTTCTCGCTTTCTCTCTCTCTGTCTCTCTCTGTCTGTCTGGTAAGCACATGCACCCCATAGCAAAAAACTCTCCAAAAAAAAAAAAGTGATTAAAAAAAGAATGATTTAATTTAATTTAATTTAATTTATTTTTCTTTATTATTATTTTCTAGTTTGATCAGAGGAAGAAAGGCAGGGAAAGTGAGAAGCAAGCCACCAGGTCCAGGACTCGAACTGTGGTCAGCCATGTAGGAATGTCCAATGCCTTTAACCACCACGCCACCTGCCAGTCTGAAAATAATGATTTAACAACAACAAAAAAGAAAATCACACCGGTATATAAGTGAGCATGCCCAAGATCCCAGGGGGAAAATGGGGGAGAAGGGATTGCAGCATGGCCATCCCCCCGGGGGATGATTTCTCGCTTTCCTTCTCACTGTCTCTGTTTCTCTCTCACAAGCACACATGCCCTAAGGTAAAACTGTTTCTCTCTCACAAGCACACATGCCCTAAAGTAAAAATCCTTTTTTTTTTAAAAAGAGAGATTTTGCTATAGGGCATGTATGCTCACCAGAGAGACAGAAAGAGATTGAAAGAAATCACCCCTGGGGTGATTTCTCCATGGGGGAATATGCCATATAACAATCCTTCTCTTCCATTCTCCTCTCCGGGTTTGCGCATGCAAACACACATGCTCAGCATTGGTTTTAAGCCATTGGGTCCAGGTCTCAAACCACAGTCAACTTTGTGGGAGTCCAGTGATAAAACCATTTGGCCATCTGCTGGTTCCAAAAACCCTCTTAACAAATAATCAAAAAAAAAACCACTTGCCCTCTCAGACTTCGCATTTCAGGGCTAGCAAATGCCATGGTGGTTAAGGGCGTTAGACTCCTACATGGAGTCCAGCCAACCACGGTTCGAGTCTCAGACCTGGTGGCTTGCTTTCTCACTTTCCCTCTCTCTAACTCTGTCCCTCTCTGGTCAAATTAAAATACGTTAAGTTAAATAGAGTAATTTATTTTTTTGGAAAGGTTTGTGCTATAGGGCACGTGTACTCTCCAGAAAGAGAGAGACAAGGACCAGCAGTTAGCGTAATGGCTATGTCACTGAACTCCCATGTAGTCGACCCCTCTTTCTCTTGGGGGGGCCCCCACCCCCAAAAAAAAAACCCCCCAAAAAAAAAAAAAAAAAGAAAAAAGAAAGAGAGAGACAGAGAGACAGAAATCACCCCCGAGGGGCAATGGCCACACCGCAATCCCTTCTCCTCCATTCTCCTCTCGGGATCTTGGGCCCGCACGCACACGTGCCCGGCGTGATTTTAAGCCACGGGGTCCGGGACTTGAACCACGGTTGACTACATGGGAGTCCAGTGACATAGCCATTACACCAACTGCTGGTCCCCAGAAATGGCATTGTTAAGAAAGATTTTTGCTATAGGACGCGTGCTTGGGGGAGAGACGGAGAGAGACAGTTAGGAAGCAAGACAGTTTTAGGGAAGGAAGTATTTCCATCTTGCAGTCACGGTGAATGTCAGAGCTTTGTCCTGATCAAGCTGAGTGGGTACCTTCTGAGGCCTTGGACGTCCCCCCAGACCTTGATCTTCATCCCTGAGTTCTCTGTCGTCTCCTCCGTCCCTCAGGAGACCCTGGCTGACCTGACGCTACGGCTGGCGCTCCCGCGGCGGGGCAAAAGGGGGGGCGCGGCACC